CACACACACACACTCTCACACTCACACACACACACACTCATACACACACAAACACATACCAAATGCCTGATTAGAGTTGACGCCTCCATGTTTGAGGGGGGGCCAAGCCAGCGCTCGGCTGTTCTGGTTGAGCTTGTGCCACGGGAGCAGTGGGGGCGTTCGCGGCAGCGCGCCTTTGACCAACCTGGCACGGTTCCGCTGCCCTCCGCTGCTGATTTCTCAATCCTCGGCCGCAGGACATCATGGGGGCGTGCGAGCGGATCCTCAGGACGCCCATACCCCTGTCCTGTGGGTGGCCGGCTGGTCGGGGCCAGGGATGCATGGGGGGCTTGATGCTTGGGGTTGTGCCTTGCGCGGCTGCGAGACGCGTGATCCTGGGTGTTGGGGGACTTGAGATGGGGCTGGTGAGGCTGCTGCAGTGTTGCTGACTGCAGCCTGTTACTGTCTGTGGGCCCACGAGGGGGTTGCTCGAGCCTTGCTATGTCGCGAGGGGAGCCGCATGTAACTCAGCCGTATTTGGGGCGATGCTGTTCCATGCACGCTCCTCAAAATCCATGCGCAAGCAGCCCGCCGCCATTCCATGAGTGCTTTCGTCATGCCCCCTGCCCCCCAAAACCGCCAGACACCCGCCACACGTCGCGCTTCCTGATGCTCTGGCTGGCCACGCTGCCCTTTGTGCTGTGGAACCACATCGGCTGGGCCGTGGTGCCGTCTACGGCCGTCGTGTCGTTCCTGCTGCTGGGGATCGACGAGATCGCGATACAGCTGGAGGAGCCGTTTGGGATCCTGCCCCTGGAGGCGATCTGCGACACCATCCAGCGGAATATTGAGGTGCGCACGCCGCTGACTGAATCGGCACACAATTGAATTGCGTGCCAAATTGGCACCACCATCCACCTGTCTTCCCCGTTGAGGACGGCGCGAGCGCGCTCCTGAGCTTGTACACTCTGAACCCCACATCGGGCCGGGGCTCCAGGCTGAGCTGCCTTGGGAGCTGGCGCTGACGGGGCGCAGGTGCATTGGCCTGCGCAGCCCCGCGCCTCCAATTGTCAGCGCGGCGTGCCACCAGCAGGCCACAGCCGCACCCTACAAACCAGGACGCATGATCGTATCAACTTGCATCGAGGACTCAGAGTGCAATTTGTTTCGTGCGTGTTCACCCGTGCAGAGCTGCTGTCCATCTCTCGGACACAGCCCTGCCACTCCCAAAACCCCAGCACCAATGGCACCATCAAGAGAACCCAATAACGCCAGCACCTCCAGCCTCTCAAAGGCGCATTATCAAACAGCACCCAGCCACCCCAGCACCCACGATTTTCCAACCCCGCCCCAACACCAGGAGCTGGTGAAGAGCGAGGCAGCCGTTGTCAGCACCCTGGACGCATCCATTGCTTCGGCCCGCGCCCGCCTGGCCCAGGTCAGCGCACAGCGCCACACACCTCACACCCCGCCTGGTGACGCCCGCCGCCGCTGGCAGTACCACGCCCCTGACGCTGCGTGGCTTCAATAGCAGGCAGCAACAAGATCCTGAAACCTCATTCCTGGTCGGCCCAGCTTATAGTTGCTCCCGTGCTTCCCAATAAGTTCGCAATCCCATCACACCAAAAACTCAGGAAGAGGAGCTGGCACGCATGTTAGAGCAGCAGCTGCCGTTCAGCTGGGGCCCCAGGGGCCTCGAGGCCGCCGACGCCGGCCCTTCTGCCGCCGGCGCCGCCCGCGGCGACAGCGTTGCGGGAGACGCGGAGGGGGAGCGGCGGGCGCGGCGTCGTGCGGTGCAGGAGGCCGGAATGCGGCAGGCGGGCATGGCGGAGCAGCAGCAGGCGTGGCAGGGGCAGGAGCCGGAGCAGCAGCAGGGGCAGCAGCGGCAGCAGCGGCAGCATGAAGGGCGGGCAGGCAAGTGCTCGTCAGTGGACGGGGGCGGGAGCGGCGCGGCCTACCACCACCACTCGCACCATCCGGAAACCCACATCGACCCCTGGATGCAGCCCAGCCACCAACAGCAGCGGCCGCAGCTGCCGCACCCCTCGCGGCCAGCCGCTGGGGCTCGGGATGAGGGGCGGCTGCGCCCCGGGGCGCCGGCGGCGGGCGGCGGCGCCCACCAGCCGGACGGGGCACGCGGCGCGGGTGGGGACCGGGCGCCACCTCAGCAGGGCTTCCTGGAGCCGTGGGAGCTCCCTTGGTGCGTTTTGGGCAATGGGGGGCTGGCGCTCACAATCGGCAAGCAACGCCTTTGCACATATGCGCGTGGATTCGAGCCCTGCACATGCCGTCCCACATTGTGCTGCGCTGCTGCGCACAGGCTCACGCCCCGAGCAGCGCCTACTGGCGCGCCGACCCCGGTACACCTTCCCGCCTTGCCTTGCTGTCCTGACTTGCTGCACCCGATTTGCGGCCTGTCACTCTCTTGCTGCGCCAAGTTTCTTGTTGTATCAAATCCACCCAGGTACGCCGCCGGACTGGAGGAGGCGGATATGCTGGGCGCAGCCGCCGCCAGCGGATCCTCTCACGACCTGCACGACTTTTTGCTCGGCCGCGCCCACGGCGCCAATGCGGTGCGGCACCCCGGCACACCCACGGCGTCGCAGTCGGCGGACGAGGTGCCCGCCGCGGCGGCGGGGGAGGGGGAGGGCGGAGGGGCCCCTGAGGGCGGCAGGGAGGAGCGGGAGAGGGGGCCAGGTCCGGGGGCATCGCGGTAGCTGCTGTGAAGCAGCAGTCTGGCACGCATAAAAAATCTGCATTCAATTTGGTCCAGAGGTTCCCGTGACAGACCAACATGCCGAGCCTCCAAACTGTCCAGATCGACATGTCTGAAATCCTGTCATATGCAGCTGCATGTGCGCGAGCCTGGGGATGAGGCGTGCCCTCACGAGGGCGGGCCGGGCGGCGCTGGGTGCTGCGCGAAACGGCTTCAACCACATTTTGCAGCAGGGCTTCGTTGGGACGACAATGAATGTGTGTCTGGGTGAATTGCACGCCTCGGTCGCTTCCCATACACAAAATCCCTTGCCCAGCACTGCCCCTACTTTCTCCTGCCGCTCGAGACTTTGGGAGCTGCTGCCACATGCAGCCACCACAACGCATGTGCGGCTCGAGCTGCTGTCAAACAATGGGTGTCTTCCTGCAGAATCGTACTCTTGTGTCAGAGTTTGGAGATCACAATGCATGTTTGCCTGAATGGATGCATCCAAGCTGCTTGCACATGTCACCACGAGCGGTTGCGCTGTGCAGACACGGCGCGTCACCAGGTTTTTGGGGAGGGGGCGCATAGCAATGCCGCTTGTCACCGCGGGTTTAGGGGGGCGACGCGCCTGGGTTGCACAGGGGTCAAGGCCGCGTGGCCTTGACAAGGCCCTGGTGCAGGCGATGGACGTTGGATACCAGGGGGCGGTATGTTTGGTGGTGGAGCCGCTCGCCTCCTGTAACTTGGCGGGCGCAAGGAAATTTCGGACGGCAGGGCAGGGGCGGGCAACTGTCGTCATGACTCATGAGTGACACCGCAAATGGCATCCTGGACACCCTGTGCAGTTGACCAGCTGCAGGGTTAGGCAACTGCTGCGCACCATATCTGATTATACAGTGACTTTCTGCATGCATGCAATTTTGGTGAGCTTATCTTGATCATAACTTTTTATGTTTCGCAACACTTGCGGCGTGCAGGGCCTGCTGTGTGCAGCCATGCTGTAGCAAGCGCACGTGGCGGCTTGGGCGGCTGGGCGCATGGGTGCAATGGTTTGGAACGTCGGGCGGGCTCCCCTCCGCTTGGTCCGAAGCGGTGCATCTCCATAAGAACGATAACTTCTGACACAAGCCGCTTTCTCCTGGACCTTTCGCACCATCGCCTGCGACAGCTGCCCATTAGCTTCACGTGCGATCTCCTGTTGCCCGGGACACTTTCCACCCTACAGCGCCCGCGAGACCAGAAACCGCAGATCTACGACTGTATCGACCATCCTCACGGCGCAAGCATTCGAGTGTCGTGTCTTGCACCCAGAAGATGCGGCAGCCGACAAAATACGCATGCGCCTGCGCGATAGCATAGGCCCTGTTTGTATCTGTAATATCGACATCACATACAGGCCCCCGAACCCTGTGGCGCGCGCTGCCCCCAAAGCTCCGTGGCTTTCGTCGCCCCGGGATGCGCAGCCTGGCCCACTATGGGGCTGGTCGACAGGGTCTGGGATCGGTAAATGCAAGGCGCACCCGACAGGCGCACCCGGCAAGGCCGCACGCGCTGGACGGCCGGGTGAGTCGGCCTATGCCTGCAGATGCGCGACAAGACTGCGCCCGCCCTGCCGCGCCGCCCCGCCACGGGCAGCCTTTGAGACCCTCTGAAGTTTGTCACGCCCATGGGAACGGCCGTCACATTGAACGAGCCACCCTCAACCTCCAGTGCACCCGCCGCCGACCCTTCCCTGCCCTTTCTCGCCTGCTCCCAGGCCCAGCAAGCCTTTGGCAGCGGCGGCCTGCGGTTCGGGCAGCATGATCAGCTGCAGCAGCAGCAGCAGCAGGAGGGCCTCGAGCAG